GGTAAAATTGAAGGCTGGTTTTTGTTAGTACGGTAAATGTGGGTGGCATTCTTCTTCTTTGGTTCAATCATGAAGGAGAATCTGATGCTGTCTCCATGTTGGAATCTTAAATTGCAAATAAAAGTGGGGTTTTATTCAGTTCATGAAAACAAGTCCAATTTAGAGACCAAATTTCTAAACAAGCATTATTCCTTTGTCTATTCTTACTAGATTAAGACAAAACAAAATCCAACCTTATCACAATTGGCCTATTTTTATTTTCTATATTAGCTCCGGTCCTTGTTGGACTAATGTTTACCAAAAAAAAAAGAAAATAATATTTATACCCTTTTTTAGTTTTTTTCTTAATTATTTTTTTATACTTTTGTGTGATTATAATAACACCTCATATTGAACAGTTCGCTTTGATCCAGTGCCGTTGGATTTTAAATTAAAGCCGTTCACCTTTTATGAGTTACATATCAAATTTTAAAAAATTCATTTTCTCCTTCCTCAATATGTAAATAATTGTAACATATTAAAAATGATAATAATAATAAGACCTCACATTATTTTTTTTTTTTTGTTCAAAAAGGAAAATAACACCTTCCATGAACCTTGCGGGGCAGTCAACATCGAATAATTGCATCCTTATTTTGACCACAAAAGTTTTATTTATTTTTCTTTGAATTTTTGGCACGGTTGATACTTGATATGGTGGAGACAAAAGAAATTGGGACCAAGATATCATGTTATATGGGCCACAAGAAGAACATCATCAAGTACACTAATTTGTAGTTTGCGTGACCCTTCCAACGACCCCTAACAAATTAAATACTATAAGATTAATTTTTTTAGAAAAAAAATAGATCTTATATTTAAATTATTATGTAATTTTTTTTTTTTAAAAAAAAAGGGCAAACACCACCTCTAACAATTCCATAAAACCAATTAGCTAAATCCAAACCTGAAGATGTTTTTTCATGTTAGTTTGGCCGAATGCCAAGGAATTGCGTTTAATTATTTCTTATCATAAATTTTTATAAAATAAAATAAAATCATTTTAACTGATCACACCTTGTAAATAAGATAGTTTGTTAATTATTTTGATATTCGTCAAGCCAACTCAGTACTTGCTTTATTAAATAATTATCATTCACATTATTTTTAGACTCATAACGCAATTTTGAAAAATTATCTGCTGAGTGCCATTTCTTATCTTAGATTGAGTTGGTGCTTCAACTCTTTCAGGCAAGACATAAACAAAGTATCATTGTACTGCTTGAATAAATTTCACAACTATGACTGCATTCCCTCATGTAGCTACAGTAGCAACCATGCTTCTCCAAAGTGAGAAGCAGGTGAATCGCACTTCAATCCGCAAGTTGAGTTCCAGACTTGATTTTTTTCGAACATATACTAATTTAACACTGTATTTCTTCCTATCAATAAAAAAAATAAAAAAAATAAAAATTTCACAACCATGACTACACTTATTGCATATCCAAATGATGTATACAAAGATCACATTACTATGAATTATGAATCTGTGATTGCAGACATCACAGATTTTACTACTATAACACGAATGGTTTCAATTAACCTCCAAATTGTAGAACACTTTTGTTAGTCCTTTCTTCGATCGGATTTGAGAGACCTGAAATAAAAAGGGTAAGCATAAAAGGAAATGTGAGATCAGAACAGATATTATTCAACAAATTCACATAATAATTGTAGAGGCTTAACAATGTGTAAGCATGACGGTTGCTACATTTTAAATTTTTATAATTATTATTTTAGCTTTTGTCCTCAGCACAACCTAAGGGTTACTCGAGTATTATGGATTAATTGTCACAGTATCAGACACTTATGGTATACTACTGCAAGGTTTTGAGAAGCTGGTTATGCTCTCATTCACACCCCACAAACAGTATAGCTGAAATGCCCTAATCCTTCTGACCTTCATAGTTCACTACTAATGGGAATGTCATGAAGACTAATATGGTGACATCTAAAACTGAAACCCTCATAAGCTGGGGGTCGAAATTTGACAGGAATATGGGTAAAATTTCACAAAATGCACTTCTTAAAAACTGAAGCATATGTGATTGGGTATGGTGTCAGTGATCACCAATCATATTCTTGCTTGCAATCCTCATTAGAGGAAATCATTTAGAATGTAAAGCAAGTGATCACTTACCTTCATGTTCATGATCTCTGAAATATCAGAAACATGGGTGCCACCACAAGGGCAACCAAGGTTGTCACCTAACTTCACAATACGAGGAGTGCTGTCCTACAATGTGAATGCAAGATAACTAATAACAGTTATTATCGAAAATATTTAATTTAAGGACAACACCAAACTGCAATCATCTATATCAGAGCATGAAATAAAAGAAATAAAATAAAAGGCCTGAATGCAGACAGTAATATAATATATTTTATCTAATTAATTCATGTTGATTTCCTTTGTCAACTGAGCTCAAGCAAGTGGATTCTGTCAGCATTCACTGAAAACAATTGCTTGCACTGGGGTCAGTTTTGACAATTCAACAAATTACCAATAATCAAAACTAATAAGCAAATACTGAAACAGACAGCAGCATGAGTGGCACTGGAAACGCAATGCAAAACAAATTATTGATTGTATAAACATGATATATCACCAAAAAAACACAATGAATAAAGATGATGATGATGATGATGATTGCAGTAATCTGGTTAAGGTCTAATAACAGCCCTGTTATTCTTCTATACACTGGACTGGGTTCATTTGCAGGTCTAACCCCATCAATTTCAGATGTAAACTTTGTAAATCCTTAACAAATGAAGAGTAGACATAACTACACTAAAAGCAGAGGCACAATACACATGATGACTAAGGTCATGTTAAGACCAGCAAAAGCTTTGCATGTTAAAATCCTTACTTTGGCAATATAATCAGGAAGAGAACCGCCACAGAGCTCAGCAGCTTCTTCATATGTTAATACAGCAACAAGAACCTGAAAGAAGAGAGGAACAAAATGCTTTACTAAAAAATGCCATGCAGCATAAAGTAAATTGAAAATGTAAAAGAAGCAATACTTACTTTCCCTCCTCTAGATATCAATGCATTAGCTTCCAGCTCCAGTTCTTTTTGCTTGTTCTGAAATTCGTTTTGTGGAAATGTACCTTTATATTCAACATATGGCCTGACCCAAAAAAACCCTTCTTAATGCAAATTCTGAGTAATTGAATTCGACATTGAAGTAACTATGCACCTTGATTACAAGATTATTAACGCATAAGAACATAAAGGAAGTTTCATGAGTTCAACCATAACCATCTGAATAAAACAATGGTGTCCAACATGGCAACAATGCATGAAAAGAAATGGCTTTTAAGACTAAATATTTGCTTGGACTTGCAGAAACAATGAAGATTTCATTCACAATACAAGCAACAAAATTTGCTGGTGCTGGTAAAAGCATACCCGTCTGGAAAATGATAGCCTTTTGCCGGCACCAAATGCCCCAATCCTACTTTTTGCATGGCTCTGTCAAGCAAATGACCAGCTGAGTGCAATCTGCCAGAAATTGAATGTTAAATCAAGAGAAAGTACACCCAGTAATTATCATATTATCTACTAAAAAACAGAAAAGTCAAGCATTTGAGATTAAAACAATTAAAAATAAATAAAGACCTGGAATTCAGCTTTCTTCTCGATTCATCAACGTACAAAAGCACTTGTTTCCCTTTTTCTTGCTCCAATTCAGCTTCTCTACTGGCATCCTCAAAAACCCCATAATGAAATACCTAGAGAAACCACCCAAACATAGAATCAACATAGGAGAAAGGTTTAAAAAAAAAGAAGAAGAAGACAGTGTTTTTAATCAGTAACTTACTACTCCGTCTTTTGATCGAACATCTTGCACGCAAAATTTGAGGGCAGAATCAGCAAAGCAAATCAGACCAGTGTCAGCGGGTTGCCCGCCGCCTTGTGGGTGGAAGATCGTGGAGTCCAAAATCAAAGCACGCCTGCCATCATCGCCCTTTAAACCAAAACCCAAAAAGGATTAGAAAAAATATTGAAATTTTGGAGTCGATCATGCAATTAATCACTGGGTGGACACAACCCCATGAAATAAAAATTAATGGGATTAGGAAATCACCTTGAAGTAAGAGATGAAGGTGGCATTGGATTCGAGTTTCGACATCTGTTGATAGTACTCCAGCTTCGTGGGACTCAATGCCATGGTTGTTCCTCTTGAGTTCAGCAAAGTAGAAGAATCTGGAATTCTTTCAATTTGAACTCTAATGTTGCCTCGCCCTTGCTTAAATAAACGAACTCTGATGTTGACTTTTCAAAGTGTAACAGGAGGAAGAAGGCTGCGCCCTTGCATTCTTGACTAGAAAGGGTGCAACAATTTGTCGAGGAGACGCCCCAAGGAAGGTACTCCGTTATCGCACTGAAGAAGAAATGGGTCAATAAAAGCCCGTTAATGTCTATGGGTCAAAAACAAAAATAGGGGACAATTTTTTTTATTATTTTTATATAATAAAATAATTAATTTTTTATTTATTTAAAATTTATAATGTTAAATATATTTATTTATTCAACAATAAATAAAAATTGTATAAAAAATAATATAAAAATATTACCTTTATATCACTTAAATGTGAAATTTTGTCAATAAATTTATTAAAATATTTTTAATAAAATAATTTTTTTTATAAAAATTTTAATAAATTTATAAAATTAAAAGTACACATTGTCTTATAAAACACTTTTTTAATAATTAATTGTACTTTACATATGTTATTCAAGATGTCCTCTTTGATTAGTATTTTGAAGAATACAATCATATATTAACCATTTGATGGAAATTACTTAATTTTATAATATTTTTTATTAATCTCTCAATATTAAAAGTTGTATTGATCTAATTAATTTACAATCAAGTCACGTTAGATTTCATATAAACTTTCGCAACATTTATTTTTTCATCTATAATAATTGAACTTGAGATCTTATTTTATTATAAAGGAGAATTAAGTTTTTTTATTTAATTAACAGGTTTTTGGTTCTATTAACATTGTTTGATAATATTAAATTTTGTGTAATTGTTAAATTTTATCCTATTTTACTAATAGGTGTCTTACAATTCAGAAACATAAAATAAGTGACTTTTCGCTAAATGTGTGAAAATCACAACCTTTCTTGAGAAATTCGGTTGTTTTCAAGTAACCATATTGTCTGACAAAGGAGAGATTCACTTTAACAATACAATCAAAGGCTCAATGATTCAGATTTCAAAAGGGTTATAACAAAGAAACAACAATTGTATTATCTATGCTTAGCGATCATCATTATTATCAATCTACCATGTTCCTGTTCTTGTTGCAGTGCCCTTGTTAATGTCACAAGATTAGCTGCTACCCGCATATATGCCTAGTTATGTCTGGTGTTTCTGTTGTTCTTTGCCCCCAGTAAAGGGCTCAACCATTGTTTAAGTTGCTCTTGTTTTTTCCCACCAGTTGAAGGTTCGGTAGTAGATGACATGTTTCTCTTCACAGGCACAGCTATATGATCATTATGGAAAACAATCTTCTGGTATTCAACAATTCCCTGCGGATCTTTGTTCACAGATCGCAGGTACAAGGCTAGCACGAAAGCAATCACCTGAGAAGCAGAGGTTTTATGCAATCAACATATATGCATAATTCTTCAAACAACTTTCTTTTCTTTTTCGTAAATTCTCTGAAACAATACATGAATGAATATAATGATGTAACATTACCTCCAAAATAGGTACAGCTAGAATGAGCCATCTAATTATTTTCCAGTTGACCTTAAGGAAATAAGAAGCAGATTGCAGATTGCTACTCCTGTCTTTGGACAAATCCTGTCAAATGTAAACTTGAGTTCTAGATTATAAGCTGTTAAGAATTGTAATGTGAGATTGAGTCAGCTAAGATCCGCAACCTTGTCCCATATGGGTTGTAAGAACATGGAAGCAACTGCTCCTAATTGTGCCAAAAAGAGTGTCACCAACAACACTGAGTACTGATCAAACCCACTTAATTAAGGAAAAATATAAATCAAAACACGAAATCAGGTAAGATAAAAGTACTGAAATTGAGTTAAGTTGTTGGATACAAAGCCCAGACAGCGGGGGTTCCTCATTACAGATCCAATATATCCGAAAAAGGATATCACGAACAGGGTCGCAGCAACAGTGAGTAGAAAATAAATAAACCTGCAAAAAAAAATCAATCAAATAGTATATATTCTTACTCTAACAGGACAACATATATCCCACGGAATGGAAATTGGAGAAGTTAATTGGAAGCATGACAGATACAGGTATACTTACCAGGCTGTAGGAGGCTTACGGGATAATTGGATGGAGGCATCAGGCGCAAGCAACAGCTGATTTAAGGAATTGTGGAGATGTAATGGTTGCTGTGGAACTTCGGATTTCAAACCTACCGAACAGTAGAGTGCATACAAGGATATGGCTATGCCACAAGCGGTGAAGACAGAGTTGATGATATTCAGAATCAACGCTGCTGCTGAAGCTGATGATCCCCCCTTCGCCATTTTCAACCAAAGTTGAGTACCTGAACCTCTGATATCTGCGTTTTTGTTTACACAAAGCAAGAATGAGCAGGTTTGGAAATGACCAGCTCAAGTATTTGCACTTTTGCAGGAGGTGAGTTGGAAAATAATGCCAGCTGTAATTCCTTCCATGGAGCTAAATCACAGATTCTAAGTATTTTTTAATGAATTTGTCTAACATGTACATTTAGAGTTTTAAATGTATTTTTCATGTATTAATTTATATAAAAAACAAAAAAATTATTATTAATTTTAATATCTT